ATTCCAAATTGAAGAGAAAATTTGTTCCTCTGTTCTGCTTCTAATCCCTGTGCTGTCAACGTGATAAGATGCATTTATCATGTTTCCTCTGTTTCTCCTGGTTTTCTAAAATGATTACAAGTCCTATGGAAACTATTTGATGTAATTTGGCCTCAGAAGTAACACGGAAAACCAGTTGACATTTCTGTGGGATCACTGGAGATTTTCATCCATGACCTCTTGTGTAGTTGTCTTCATTCCCTGCTCCTACATTTTCTCTTTGAAGAGGACAATGATTTTGAGATTTTATGCAGTATCCTTTGAAAATATCCTGAGACCTTACACTAACATGACTCTATTCTTCATTTCTAATGATGGAAATTTAAACATCATAATCAATTAAAAAATCCTAATTCTGGAGAAGACATTTTATCAAAAGTCAAGTAAAATTATAGAATTCAGAAACAGGGAATCAATGAATAAAAGAAAAATTGAGTAATTAGGACTTTCTGTTCATTTTGGAAGAGCACTCGTACTTGAAGCACCTCGTGTCCTTTGTATCTTGATGTTCTCCAGGGACTGGGACTCACTCTAGAGCAGCAGGGTCTGCAAGTTTTAGTGAGGCTGTGCCATTGATTTGTGCAGATTTTCATTAGGCTATTTATATGGTAAAAAGATCCTACTTCTCAAAACGTAGGATCAGCTTTTGTTGTTTTGTTCCTTCTTGCTGTTGGTATAAAATATATTTGGCTTCACAATGAGATAGTCCTTATTAATACTTTGTCATTTCAGCCAGGTATAGTGGCACGTGCCTATCATTCCAGCACTCAGGAGGCTGAGGCAAGAGAATCTCCACAAGTTCAAGGCCAGCCTGGACTACATAATGAACCCAAGGCCAGCTGAGACAAAACAGCAAGGCTGTCTCAAAAATAAATAAACAAGTAAATAAACCTCTGTACTTCCTTAAGGAGGGTGTGTGGGGTACACTGCCTTTGATTCCCGCCCACACATGATTGTAGAAGTAACACCTGTGTTTTTATCAAATGTAGAATAGAAAAACTAAACACGAGTGCCTCCACAGATTTGCATTCATTCTCAGCTTGTTTCACATTTATTTGATCGACCTACTAATGGTCATTGTACTGCTGATCAGTGAATCAGCACCGAAGACTGAACCCAGGCCTTGTGCATGTTAGGTGAGCACTGTACCACAGGGCTAGAATCCCTTATTTTTGATGATTTGTATATGCTGACTGTCTCCTCCTTCCTAACCTGATACTTATCTATTGGTACATTTTATACACTCATCTTAGTATTTTCCTGAATTTATTACATGTTATTGTTAGATACTTATTAATCTTTCTATGTGTACTTCCATAACACTCTCCTTTCTCCTTTAATTCCAAATCCAGTTTATATCTTATGAGTGTTTGTTTACCTTAGCACATTTCCCTGCAACTTTTATATGCACATGTGCATAAATGTAGATGAAGAAGATACAACATTGTTTACACCTATCCATTTTAAATTTCATATTTATTCATAATTTACCTCTTTCTATTTTATTGTTTTTGCTTTTGTTTTGGACACTGGGTCTCACTATGTAGTCCAGGCTGGCCAGAACTCGCAGCAATCCTCCTGTCTCAGCCTCCTGAGTGCTGGGATTACAGCATGTGCCATCACATACTTTCCACTCTCTACTTTCTCCCATGAAGTAGAATGCATGAACAATGTTTTGGATTCCACTCATGTCACTATAAATGTATCTAGCTAATTTTTTCTCACTTATATATAGTATTCCAGTTTAACTCTCTTTCCTAGAATGACCACCAGATTGTTTTCCAATCTTAGCCATAACATTCATTACGTTTCTCTGTGCCCCGAAGTAAGAGTCTTTGAAGTATAAATAACAAGGAGTAGAACTACAGGTTCTAAAGAATACATATGTTACCACTTATTCTCTAAAATAACTACCAATTACAGTCACCTCAATTCTGACAGTGTGTTAATATTAGTAATTATCTACTTACAAAGCTTTAAAATTGCGAATGTTGATTATTTCTGTGGAAAACTCTAATTTTTATACCAAAGGCTTGGAGATGCATCATCAATCTGTAGCTAGGAAAGGATTTCTGCTCTTACTTTCCTCCTTTACTGTCTGTACATTACACTTTTATTCCCTTTCAACTCAACCAGCAATGTTAAAATTTAAAGCCCTACTAATATCTGCCTCTTCTCTGAGTTAATTGTTTATTTAAGCTAGTATTTCTATTTTAATTATGGTAGTCACATGTGGAAATGTATATACTGCTCAATTAGTCAGTGTCAGGTAAGATTTGGGGAAACAGATGCATTGAAGTTGTTTAATAACTTTAATAAACTGCATAAAAAAACAAAGATCCCACCTCTGCCATTTATAACTGAATATATGCATATAACACACAGAGTTCTAATTTTTCCCTTCAGAAATTAAAAGTAATGGAACTACAAACTTGACATTTCTAGTTGGTTAAGCTATGATTAATCTTTAACTATTTATTGTCTCTGGACAATGGCTTTTACCCTGTCCTGTGTATGCCATGCACATCAAAATTACATCCAATGTGAAATGTGTTTACATTGAAGATTCCTGAAAATAAATGTTGTTGACAGGACAATTTCAGAGTTGCCTCTTAATTTTGATTAATAATAAAAGTCAATATTATAGAATCTATAATTCAAGTTCTGATATGAAAGACTGAAAAGAAGCCAAATGTTTTCTATAATTGAAGATAAAGAAGATGTTCAGTAGTTCTTTAAAGGGTCAGGTTTGCTTTCAAATTTTCATCATGTCTTGAGTAATAAAAGATTTTTTAAGAATACTTACAAACCAGATTTTTTAAGAATACTTACAAACCAGACTGTTTTGGTTTATTTGTGATATGGCTCTTAACATTAGCATAAATTATCATAAAAGACAAAAGCATTTCTAAATTTCCAAATCAACTATAATTTGAAAAATTTTACAAAATTTAGGAACTGGAAGGCCCTCAAACTACCATTGTATTCATGCTGGTTTGGGGGAATTCAGCACAAAGGAAAATAATAAACTGCAGATTTTCCAGTGACTCACACAAAATAGAAAATCAGTAAGTACATAGAAGCCCCACATACCCTGCATGCGTGTTCTGGAAGGGAGTCAGTAGCTGCACCGTATCATGGCTGTGACAGTACTAGAATGTTAACGTTTGCACAAGAATAAAATATGAAGCTCTGACCTTGCTTTTTCTGTGAAAGCAATACTGTCAGACTGTGTGCCAGTTAACCTCAATCATTCACTTGATGAGAGTAAGAGACTGCTAAAGAGGTGAGTGGATGCTGAGAGCGGGATTTTCCTCAGTGGCTGAACCCACTGACGTCCACAGTTCAGTGTGGTGTTAGGACCTGAAGTCCCGCTGGAGGAGATGGGTCACTGGGCACTGCCTGTGGAGTGTCTGTCTGTCACCATGCTCCTCTCTTGACCTCTGCTTCCAGGCTACCGTGACTTGAGCGATTTGCTTCACCACAAACATCTGCCATGATGCTCCTGACTTAGAACAAGCTGACAATGGACTAAAGCTTCTAGAATGCTGAGCCAGATAAACTTCTTGTGAAAACTGAGGGATCAGTGTTTTGTCTTGGGGAATGGGAAAGTGGACTGACAAAGGGTAACAAATCCACCTGTCAAGAAGAACAGAACACAGTATTTCTAACTTCCCAAAATCTAGGTTTAATAAAAAAGAGACAAACTGTCTCGTAAGAGCTTTTTTAAAAATGTCAGACCTTGGAAAAATTTAAAAGCTCAGATTTATGCCATGTCATGTTGTTAGCCACCCAAAACCATGATACTACACACAAAACACAAACAATGATGTGCGTGAAGGAGGGACATTGCCACACTCCAAAATGAGATTACTTCACAGAAGAAGTCTAGAAGAAAACAATCTGAGCCCAAATATTGCAAAGCATCAACAGTAGCATTTGACCAAAATTCAAGAAAAATAAACATAAAAGAGTCAGTCATCACACTAAGAAGTTTAGAGAGCAGCTGATTGTCAAGGTGTATAAATAAGTATATTTTACAATTCTGTCTTAGTTAATTTTCTTGATGCAGAGGCAAAATGCCAAACCCTCAAAGTTAAAGAAGGAAAGGGTTATATTGACTTAGCCCAGACAGGTTTCAGTGGACAGTTGGCTAGCTCCAAGGCAGGGTGGCATAAAAGGGGCAGAGGAAAATCATCCCGTAGCAGGACAGGCAGGTGGTACAAAAAGCAAACCTTCACTTTTTTTTTTTTTTTTTAATCCTATCCAGTCTATAAGCCTGTTGGATGATGTCACTCACACCCAAGGTTGATCCGGCCTGCAGATCAACAAGTTCAGAACTCCTGGAGGAGAAACGGGGATTAAACAAAAGACATGGGGGAGACAAAAAGAGACGAAGGCAAGTTGATGTAACCCAATCAAGCCTCCGGTTTATTCAGAAAATAATCACACCTTTTATAGGCTGAGGGCGGGAGCTGAGACAGGAAGAGGTTAAACAGATGAATACAACAGGGTCACCATCACATCCGGATAAGTGATGTAAGCAGAAGAGGATTATGGTTAATGTAGGCAGACGCAGTGCCCATAGGAGAGAGGGAGAGAGAGACATCGAGGCAGCAATGCCTGTCACTCGGCTCCCTACATCTCCTCCCTTTTTATATTATTTAATTAAGAGTATGGCAGGCCCTGTGAGGACAGCGTCTGTCTTAGGTCAAGGACCTCATTGCATGAACCCAACCAGGCCTTACCCGTCATGGGCTTGCAGAACAGCAGTTGGTCCTGTGCCTGTCTTAGGTGGCTGTTGGAATTAACATGCATGTCCTAGTTGCCCGTCTCTGACTGCCTGTCCATTGCCCCAGGGCAGTCAGGCCGCATCATCATATGGGCCACTCGTGGGAATTCCTTCCCTGTAGGTTTGTTGATCTGCCATCTCCAGCTGATGATAGTGTACCTGAATGGGCTTTGCCATAAATGCGTCTATCCGGTTATTAATGAACATCATAATCCTCTGAAAAATACAAGACTCACAGAAATGAGAAACAATAGGTCAGCTAGGGGACCCAAAAGGGGCATTAGGTAAGGGAAAAACTCCCCCCCCCCCAAATCAAGGAGAAGGGGTTGACAGTCATTTGTTGGTGTCTCTGTATGAAGTCATTCTCCTGTGTCTTGGTGCATGCCTTGCATAACACTGGATGCAGTCTATTTGGCTGGTGTATGTTCCTCCAGACTGAGAAGAGCCTCTTCCGCAGTCATGGGGTTCTGTGCATGGCTGTCAGTAATTGTAGTCTGTTTGGCAGGGGTCGAAATCCACCATGGGTGTGGTGTGGCTCAAGAAGGCTGGCTAAGCAGCATAAGGCTCCAGGGAGATGTGTCACCTGTAAGAGAACACAGGGGATTGTGCCTCAGGAAATAACATTATTCCTGGGCGTTACATGGGGTCTTTGAAGAACTGTCTACTTGCTTTACAAGGCGTTCAGGTAGCCATCTAGCTTCTCTATCTTGTTGAGAGTAAACACACACTGAACCTCGTCCCCAGATAAGGACTGGATCAGGGCCATTCCACACATTGGTTAGTGGGTCTCTCCATAAGACAGATGCAAACCGTGTTTGAGTCTGAGTATGCCAAAACCGAGATGCTGCGGAGCAGCCTGAAGCATCCAGGGTCAGAAAATTTAAAATAAAAAGAGCATGTGAAAGGACATTTCTAGGGGACCCCTGGGTGGGGTACCATGTCTCCCTTTTTATTTTATCTATGGTGAATTTAAGAGAACGATGCGCACATTTAACAATGCCTTGTCCCTGAGGATTATAAGGTATACCTGTAGTGTGGAGGATATTAAGGCTTTTACAAAATTGAGCAAAGGAGGTACTGGTATAGCCAGGGCCATTATCGGTCTTGAGCTGTTGAGGACATCCCAGAACTGAGAAGGCTGACAGCATATGGGCTATAATGTGTTTAGCAGCTTCTCCAGTCTGGAGAGTGGCAAAAATGAAGCCACTATAAGTGTCAATAATGACATGTACATATTTTAGATTGCCAAACTCATTGAAATGGGTAACATCCATTTGCCATAAGGCATTAGGAATTAAACCTCTAGGGTTGACTCCTAGGTGTTGAACAGGTAAGTGGATAGCACAAGATGGACAATTTTTTACAATTTGTCTGGCTTGCTCATGGGTAATTTTGTAGAGAAGGCGGAGGGTGTGAGCATTGAGGTGGTGTAGCTGATGGGCTTGTTGGGCCTCAGACACCTTGGAGTCCTGAGCCATAAAAACCTGTGCTCATACAGCAACATCAGCCAAATGATTTCCTTGGGCAAGAGGCCCTGGGAGGTTGGAATGAGCTCGCAGATGACCGATAAAGAACTTATGACAGCGAAGCCGTATGAAGCATTGTAATTGTTTGAACAGATTTGCAGCTGGGGAAGCATGACATATAGTAGCAACAGTCTCTAATAATGGAACAGACTGAGCAAGATAAGCACTGTCAGTATACAAATTAAATGGTTGGTTAGAGTAAGCAGCAAAAGCTGCAAGAATAGCTTCTAACTCTGCTAATTGTGCAGAGGAAGTATCTGCCTGGAGGGTAGAAACATTGTCTTGAGATACATAAGCAGCCCTTCCGGAGGATGAGCCATCAGTGAATAAAACCAGGGCACCTGGAAGGGGTTGCAAAGCTGTGACTTTAGGGAATATAAATGAGTGATGATTAGCAAAGTCAACTAGCTTATTTGGAGGGTAATGATTGTCAATAGTCCCTGAATAGGAAGCTAAGGCAATAGGCCATACTTCCGTACTCTGAAGTAGCCAATCTATTTGGTCTTTTGTAAAAGGTTGAATGATAATGTCTGGTTTTTTTGCCAAAGTAACATTTTCCCTGCTTTCTACCCTGGATTATTAGGTCCGAGACAGCTTGGAAATAAGGCAAAAGTGTTTTTTTTGGAGAGACTGGTAAATGGACCCACATGAGGGGAGCTTGTTGCCAGAACACTGCTGTAGGGCAAAGCTTTGTATTAAAAATGAGAAACTGTAAAGGCTCATTGTAGTCCATAAAGGAAACAGTTTGTTGAGCAATAGCCTCTTCTACTTTACTGAGCGCTCTCCTAGCATCAGGTGTAAGCTCTCGGGGGGGAATTACTAGGAACAATGTGGCCTGCATCTAACTGGTCTTGCATCAGCTGCCGTGTGGCTGCAAGCTTTTCAGAGTTAAGGTTGTTTCTAAAGGCTTATATGAATCCCCAATTTGCCATGGAGGCACAGGGAGTTGCGGGCTGCCATCCTGGGACCTGCTGATCACGTCAACAGGTGGAAGTGGTGGCAGATCACCATATATGAGGACCTTTAACAGGCCATCATTCTCTGCATCTGAGAAATTAGAGGCTTCAGATTTTTCTGAGGATGGTTTTGAGGTAGATTTAATGGAGTCACGCAAGGCAGCCTCACCTAGTGCAACTGTCTCCTCAACCTGAGGGTCTGCATGCCTCTGGGCAAGCAGCTCAAAAATTAAATTCCAATATGTAAAGGTGGTCACAGGAACCTTTTTTGGACCAAAAACTCTATAATAATCTTTTAAAGCATCTCTTACTGTATTCCACCTCTTGGTATCTATAGAACCCTCTAGGGCAAACCTTAGAATAAATTGAAAATACTGTAATAATTTTTGTTCCAACCCTTATCTCTCTTGTCTTTCATGCCTTTATAAGGCCTCCGATGAACACTTCGTGTTCGCTCAATACTTGACCCATGTCGGGGAAGGGAAATGGGGTTGCCGTTCACTCACTGTGACTCGGGCAGGACGTCGGGTAGTCGTCTGCGCAGGTCTCGGCACTTGATTTAATGTCCTGTTGCTTTAAGCTTTAATCCTTGATTCAGTTTACTCATTCCTCGGCCGAGGTCTCTGGTTCAATTTGCTTTCACTTTCAGTTTAAGCCGGCTGTCTCTCGAACGGCTCCCTCGTTAACTTCTCCATGCCAGGAGACCCCACGTTGGGCGCCACTTGATCCGGCCTGCAGATCAACAAGTTCAGAACTCCTGGAGGAGAAACGGGGATTAAACAAAAGACATGGGGGAGACAAAAAGAGACGAAGGCAAGTTGATGTAACCCAATCAAGCCTCCGGTTTATTCAGAAAATAATCACACCTTTTATAGGCTGAGGGCGGGAGCTGAGACAGGAAGAGGTTAAACAGATGAATACAACAGGGTCACCATCACATCCAGATAAGTGACGTAAGCAGAAGAGGATTATGGTTAATGTAGGCAGACACAGTGCCCATAAGAGAGAGAGAGAGAGACATCGAGGCAGCAATGCCTGTCACTCGGCTCCCTACACAAGGTGAACCTTCTCATTTTTCACACCCAGAGCTACACTAAACCGATTCAGTCATCACACACCCTTCATGACAGTATCACTAGATCTAGACAAAAGCTCCACCTCAAAGCTCCACCTATGAACACATGAGGCTTTGGGAGGAAATTTAGACACAATCTATAAAGTTAAATAAATATAAAAATTAAGGGGCACATTCAGAAATAAATGACTGAATAATCGAAATTTAAACTTCACTTGAATAATTAAGCAACAAGTTGATAATAAATAACTAAAGAGCCAATATCTCAACCAGCTCTAGATCTGACAAAATGTATAAATAAAGCAAAAAATGAAGGTATCTAAAACAATCTTTTTTTTACTTTAAAGATAGTAAAATACAACAAAACAATACAAAACAAAGCTAATCAAGACAATGCAGTGAAATTGGTACAGAACTTCAGAGCGACACACTGGGATAACAGTAATAGCTGCCATAACTGTATCTCCTTAGCTTCACAATAGTTGTCCATTCCATCAGGTATAGCAAAATCAAACCAAAACCAAAACACTATAAAACCAATCAAAACAGAATGTTGCAAAGAGCAAAACAATTAATCAGAACAAAGCAAAACATTGAGAACAATATTTGCCTTCAAAGACAAGATAGAAGGAAATCCCCCATATTTTCTATATTGCATACTGTCATCCTCCCAAGAGATGCTTGAATGGACCTCTGGCCCCAGGTCAGCATAATCAACCCAACAATACAAGTATTTAGTTGCTTTATGTACCTTAGTTGCTATCAACTCTGGCCTTCCTCCACACCATCCAGTTGCTAACCACGGGTGGAGAGAGGGTCACAGGACATTTGATTCTCACCCACGCACCAGTAGGCTCACGGGAGACACTGACTTATTTTCTCCCTGGCGTACGTGTGTCCCACTCTACTTACCAGGAAGGCTGACTCATTGTTTTCTTGGTCGGTCCCCCAAGTTCCAGCGTGGCTGATTCTCAGAAGACGCTGATTGGTTCTTCTAAAAAAAGATATTGAAAGGAAATATGAATGGACATGGATGTTAAGAAACATACAAATGAAACATAGGTCTAACAGAAGTTCTAGAAGTTGAGAAAAACAGAATAGGGGCAAAGCACTCTTTGAAAAAGAGTTTTCTATTTCTCTGCTATTTCTTGTTTTCTAATTAAAAATAAATGAAGTCACAATTTAAGATGTTATACCTCTTTCTATAGATTGGTTGCATTGTTTATGCCCAACATTTTATATATGTTACTTATTCTCAGAGGAATGCTACCAAATTGCTTTATTACTTTTATTTCTCTGGAGAAGAAACTGAAACTCAGGAGGATAATAACTTGCATGAAATCATGCAGCTAGTATTCAAACCCAATATCCTCCACACCAAAGCTCTATACTTTTACCACTCTGATGCCTTCATCTGTAGTTTTTGAATATTAATTATCATATTAAGTAGCGAAAAGATTCTTTCATTAAGAAATGCTCATGAAATAAGAACTTTTATATAAAACAGAGCAGAGTTCATTATAGAATAGAAAGAAGCATGGCTGTGTATAACACACAGTGAATTAGTAGAATTTTTCAAACTTACTATCTAGTTACTAATTGGAAAAAGCATTCATTTTCAGATAATGTCATATAAGAAACAATTCATTCTGCAGCAATTTCTCCTCATCTTTGTGGTTGATAAGCAAGGCTTCTAATGGATTTTCTGGCAGTCCCATAAGCCATTCAGCAAGTGCTACAATAGACAATTTGTGTTCTGGCTTGCTTTAATCGCTTATCAAAATTTCTGTTGTGTTTGCTTAATGTGACAATATTTGCTTTCCAAATGGACTCAAAGAAAAAGGCTTGAATATAATCTTATACATTTTTAGCATCCCAGTCTTTTTTGGTTACTGTTCATTCATTAGTGTATCAACAATATCCAAGTACTATGTGCTAAGCCTTGTATTTTTTTCTGAGGATTAATTATATTGAATTTTAATAGGGTTTTTGGCATCATGAAGTTTACCAGGAAAATTTAAGAAATGACACAGTAAATGAAATAACTGTAAATTTTGATTAAGCGCTATACAAGACAGTCAAAAGGAATGACCTTATTTGAAGTTGACCCACTTTTTGATGACTAAGTGCTGATCCTAAATGCATATTTTTTCTGAGATCTTTTGCACATGATGATATTCCACTAGTCTCAATAAAAATCAAGCTGTATAAGAAAATGCTGTCCCATCACATGGCCACCAGATGCTTCTAAGAGGCATGAAATTTAAATACAAAAAGATAAGAATCAAGCATTTCAATAATAAGCAAAATATCAAACTTGAATTTTGTCTGTCCCCTTAGTTCACTTATCTGTCTCGTCGTTGCCTTTTGTTCCCTCATCTCAAATACCATTTTTAATTATTTTCTTCTCTCTACCTTCAGTCCTTGATCCCTTTCACTGCCCTGTTACGTGTGACAGGTACACATTCTTATCACCAAGGCTTGGCTCACACTCCCCGCCAAAGGCTCCTCTCCATGGGGCCTTCTCTCTTTCTTTCATGAAAGGCAAATTTACTGGGCAGTTCACCCTACAAAGCGTAGCACAACTGAACTTAGAATCGATTTATTCTTCCATTCATGTACTCAACACAAACCTTTAAACACCTGTATAATGTGCCTGACTCTAAAATAACTTTGAAGAAGTGGAACATGGTAGTGCACACATGTAATTCCAGCAATCAAAAGACTGAAGTTAGGGGATCCCGGGGCTTCGCAGTAACAGCTTATCTAAAACTAAAAAATAGAAAGGAAAGAGAGACAGAGACACAGAGAGAGACAGAGAGGCAAGAAACTGAAGAAAACAAAAATCATACATCATTAAGATACTTGTAAGAGAGTTGCTGAGAAACATAGAAATATATATTTAATAAAGTTAAAATAAGAGCTAATTTTTCTTGTTTTAAATTTGTCATAGGAAAGAGCTAGGACTATTTGCAATGATGTGCAACATTATACATCTTTCAAGAAAATGAAATTCAATTATTGATAGTCATACTAAACAGCACACATCTTTAGTTTCCTATCAACATGAAATTCAACATTTTTAATCTCTTTTTACTTAGCCAAATTAATGCCAGTTTGTGGGTTATGAAATGCATTTATTGGATTACAACTAGTTTTATTTGTAGTGTATGATGTAACATACATTTTTGTTACATAAATATTCTGTCATGGTTTATGTCCGTGGCTCCCAAACCTCATGAATTATGGACTGGACCAAATCTAGCATTTCTGATTGGTTCTTGTCTAGAGTTTGGATTGGTGGTGTGAGTGTTTCACCCGCGCAGTGGTGGAGCCAGGATATGATGTAATGGTGGGAAAGAAGTGTGTCTCTCTCTTGCTGTTCAGCTTGCTGCTTTGCAACAGCTTTGAATGGTTGCCCCGCTATGTCATGCTGCTTTGGAGCCATGCTGCCATGAGCCAGTCTGCTCATGGGAGAACCCACAACGGACAGCCCTACCACTTCTCATCCCTGTCCACAGAGACAGCCGCACACAGATGCCCAAGCAGACAAACAAACGGAGACTATCCTGGTCAGAGGAATTCAGAGGGGTGTGTTGTAACCCCTCAGCGGTAGAGGGCTTTCCTGCCATGCACAAAACCCTGGTTCCCTCTCCAGTACCTAAATAAATAACATTTAGTGTGTTGAGAGATGGAGGGATGCCCTGCTCTAGGCAAGGGTGTCTTCTCAGAACCCAGGAGACAGAGGCAGCATAAAGTGTACATTGCTTGTTGGGCATGAGAAGTCACCACCGCAAGCCACACTCCCATAGGTTCCCCCACACACCCTGTCCTCAGTTCTGGTGGACTAAGCTAGGGGATGTGGGTGGGGTGGTGGTTTTCATTTTCAAACATTTTCATTTGAATGTTGTGTGACTACTGATCTCTGTAGGTGGGTTCACTTCCACTGGTTTTTATTCATCCTAAATGCATTTTAAATAAACTATTTCTTATTTTGTTCAACTTACTTTGTTTTAAATATTTTAAATAATACTTCAATCACTTGAGACTGTATTTTCTAAAACACCATAAATCTCAAAATTATTTTGGTGTTTTCACTAAGTCCATGATTTTTTAATAAAAACAATTTTTTTCAAAAGTGTTTATTATTGTCCGCTGAACTATATGTTGGCTAATGTGGTAATTCTACTGTAAAGTTTTAACATAAAATAACTCTTAATATTTGAAAATCTAGATTTCTCATTCAGTTTTCTTTCAAAATTACCTTATTTATTCCATAATTATCAATTCATCAAAATTTTCCAAAATATTTTAATTGATATGTTCATAAAGCTATAAATAAATATCATTAAGGTATTTATTCTTCCTACTCAGAATTATGATAGGTGTCTTCCTTATTTATTTTTTGGTAAAATTTTTTACATTTTTTTTTTCATTTTTTCCATGACAACATATTATTCAGGGTTATCTCTAGGTATTTTTGTTTCTATTGTTTCTGTGAGGAGATATTTCTCTCCAATAACTATTTCTTCCCAATGCTATTATATTTGAATTTTTAAACAAAATTTATACAGGGAATAGTCAAAAATCTCTACAAGTCTCGCTAAAACCAAGAGAATTCTCATACCGTGCCCTGCCACACACACACACACACACACACACACACACACACACACACTCACACACAGCTGATCTCCAGCAGCAGCCTCCTGCAACTCTAGAGCTGCTCTTTACAGAATTTTCTCCTGTTTCTAAATAACTAGCTTCTACTACTATTCATTTATTTTTACTTTCAGGGATTTTCTAAACCAGTGTAAGAGATACAGGATT